TAAAATCAACATAACTAAGTCGTTTATGGCGTCGTCACATAAACAAGTGAACTCTACTCCATCTACCCAATTGACAGGTCGTGTTTTAAAGTTTAACTTTACTTTTTTAAAACCTAAATTGATAAGTTAATCGAAATTCTAGCTTTGTTACACAATTGTATACACAATTTCACCCAAAGTTGTAATCAATTACTCGCTACAATCCTCGTCTGTGTTTTAAATTTTAAAAAACTATGTTGGAGATATATTGTAATCCCTACGGGGTTTTAATTTAATTTAATTTCATGATCGTATCTATTGAAATTACCAGATTCTATCAGCCGAGTTTTATTTGTAAATACCAGTGAATTCATTAAATCCGTACATGGTAAACGGCTTTGTTTGTTGAGCTAACGTAAAGAATTCAATTTAAATAAATAAATTAGAACCTGGTTGAGTGATTGTGTATGTGAATATTTACACAAGAGGTGGATGTGATAAAATAAAGTTAGCTGCTGGCTGAATAAGTGTATGTGGTTTAATTGGAGCTTTAATTAGAGTATTCGTTTGTTTTTTCCAACTATTTTTTATAAAACAAAAACCTGAAGTAAACACAAAGTGAAAAACAAAAGAAACAGCCCATTTAACAACAACTGCAACATACTTCTAGTTTAAATATAAATGAACACAAGTCAGTCACTATAAAAAAATACATACATTTTTTGTAAACAAGTGATGGGAAATGGAGAGGGGGGGGGGGGGGGTGGACAGAAGTAACTTTCCCAAGAGACCATTTAGGTCTAAGATGGACCAATGGACCTTACAGAACCCAATTACGTCGAGCGAGGTCACGCGACAATGATTGCGACTGTTTTGAGTTTGTTTACACAAGCAGTATAACATTTTAATTATAACCTTGGGAAAATAAAGCTGGATGTTGTAGTTCAGTAGGTTCATAGGTTTATGTTAGGTTCATAATACATGTATGTCAGGTTCGTGTTACGGCCATGTTAGGTTTATGTTTAATTCAATTTAGCTTTTTTGTAATGTCAATATCGAGTGCAATTTAGTCATTCGTGTTACGTTCAATTAAGGTGTGCAATTAAGCACCTTGCTAGTGTTCGGTTAGGTTCATAACAGGTTACGCTTTAGGTAGGTTCATTATAGGTTCCAATTTGATGGTATGTTTGACTTAAATTATAAGTTCATATTAGCCACATGCTAGGTTCAAGTTCGGTTTATGTTAGTTTATAGTAGCTTCAAGTTAGGATTGTGTTAGGTTTATTTTAGTATGAAGAAAGGTTCTTGTGATCAGTTTATCGTGTGTATCTTCTCTTCTTTTTCGTTCTTAATTTTAGTGTGGGAAGAGATCCCCTCCAACACTATTAAGTAGGCTATAGGGTGTCAACTTGTTATGCGCCATTGAGGCCGTTGATTCCGATTTCAGCCTGCTTTTCTTTTTTCTTTTTTTTCTATGCTTTCATAGCCTTTGTCTAACCAAGAACAAACTACAAGACAACAGTTGTTTGATTTTGGAGTTGTCCCCAGCTATCGAGCCTCATCTGCCCGAGGGTTCGAACTCGAGACTTTTCGACCACGCAGATCCCTATCGTGTGTATGACTAACTTGTATTCTATTTCAGAATTTTGTTTAATTTTTGTTCCCCAAATTTTCTTGGCCATTTTTTAATCCCGTGATAACCACGTAAGGATCACGTCAGTTATATCAGGTTAAATGTAGTGTCACGCCGGACCTTGTATATACGCCACATTTACTTTAAAGTGAAGATGTAGTATTTAACATGGGATCACGTTAAGATAATATCACGTCAGTGTCACGTAACGACTTAAAATAAGATACACGTAACCTAAAATAAGATCACGTAAAAAACATGTTTCTGGAAAACCACGTTAAAGTGATGTAGTAAGTCGAACGTGACACGAAGCGAGAGCATGCTAGAAGCCAATTAAGTGTAAACAGAACAGACAGCAAAAAAGAAAACGTGTTTTTTTTTCTAATTAAAGACATTTTCCTAGAAATGAGGTCAAGTGACGGGCGTCGTTCCTACGAATAATGACATGGAACAGAAAGGGAGACAAACTAATACATTAAAGGGAAATAACTAGATTTTAGCCTGTAATTTGATTATTTTTACTTTCTCGTATATACGAAGTATAGAGAAAGTCTTGTAATCGTGCAAAAAAAAAATCTAGATTTTTACAAATCTCGACGTTCTACACCTCACTGATACGGAAAAACATAATTTTGCAATCTTGTCCGTATGTCTGTATGTCTGTCTGTGTGTGTGTCTGTCTGTGTGTAAACACGATAACTTGAGTACCGTTACAGCTAGGTTGATGAAATTTCATATATAAAATTACCTCCCTTAAAGATGAAAATTGTTTGTTATTCCCCCTGACAAAAAAAGTTCTACGCCCGATATACTTTGACTCAAACAAAAGACGAGGGCAAATCGCTGTGAACTGTGTTACACCTTGGTGCACTCTCGGGACTAACATTAATATTCTGGGGGGGGGGGGGGGTGATGGAATCTATGATGGGGGAGTTGAATGTTTGGGTGATTTTGGTGGAGACTATTATTGTATCGAGTTTAGATTTGGCAGAGTTTTAGTTTTGGAGAATTTATTGTGGGAGAATTTAGTGTGGGATAATTTAGTGTGAGAGAATTAAGTGTGGGAGAATTTAGTGTGGGAGAATTTAGTGTGGGAGAATTTAGTGTGGGAGAATTTAGTGTGGGAGAAAATAGTGTGGGAGAAATTATTGTGTGGTGTTGTAGTGTAGGCAAAGGTAATTATTTGAGTGTGTGTGTGTATTTAAATAAATCTACGGTGGGTGTGATTGGGTATATACTGTGGGTAAGTTGAGTGGGGGTGTTTGGATTAGTGGGGGGTGGGGGAGTTGTCCTTCTGGGTGAGGATTAATCGACCTCCGGATCATGTGACAATGTGACGGATTGCGTCATTTGTGTAACGGTGCTTTGTTTATTCCTAAATCTAAGACTAAATAGTAGGGGAAAAACATGTCAAATACCCTGAATGTTAACGAGCTTTTACATGTGCTAAATTATAAAAGTAAGAGTACACTTTTAAAGCTATAATACTAATAATAAATATATAAACACGTTTATAATTACAAGCTTTTATAATAATGCACTAAAAAGTAGAAAATAAATTATAAACTACTATTTTAATTACTATAAAGAGAAGCGTTTGTCTCTTTCTAAATATTAGACACTACTATTTAAATTACTATAAAGAAAAGCGTGAGTCACTATCTATTGGAGACCTTTACTAATATTTAGGAAGAGACCCACGCTTTTCTTTATAGTAATTTAAATAATAGTGGCTAATATTAAGAAGAGACCCACGCTTCTCTTTATAGTTATTTAAAAAGTAGTGTATAATTTATTTTCTATTTTTTAGTGCATTATTACATAAAAGCTTGTTATTAAAACGTTTTATATCATTTTTTTTTTCAGTACTTAACACCAAGTTTTATTTATAATAGAGATACATGATTAAAAACCATTGCGCGCCTATTGAACATGATGACGCGCTTTTGACGTAGAGCCCCCCCCCCCTCGCTCCACACCAAACACGGCCGTGCTTACGCGTGTGGATAGATCTGCCTACTAATTCGGTCCAAATTTTAATTAATTCATAAAAAAATTAATTAGGCGACTGATAAGGTCAAATTGAATGTCACGATGCATTGTCTTCATGTCTTGACCCACGAACCAGTTACGAACCGTATCTGTCAGTTAGAAGTGCCTGCAATTTCACACGGCCGTTTTGATCTAGACAGACAGACAGACTGACGACAGACTGACCAGGAAGCAAGTTAAATAAAAGCTTGTAAAAACAAAGCTTTCTACTGCTAGTCTGAATGTCTCGAGTTCCGGGCTCAGTTCTGTTGGGCTCCGTGAGTTCACCCAGCTCTGATGGGTACCAGACACACGTTAGGGAAATTAAGGCGGATATGCATTGTGCTGACCACACTATCCCCTTGTATGACGAGATCATTGAAACACGAACTCTACTTCATCTACCCTATGTGTATTGGCACGAAACGGAAAGTATAATGAAGATGAGTTCTTACAAATAGATGGTCGCTTTGGAAATCTTTCTGCAACCATCGTAATTATTTGTTTTAATTTAATTTTCATTAAAGAATGTATTTCACATATACGCCGTGAAATCGATTAGAAGTAGTTTGTTTGTTTCATAATAAATACACGTATGTTTCGTGTAATTGGAGGAATATTATTTTCATTGTATCGTCTAGCATACTTTAAGTTAATTGATTCGGTAAATTTAAAATATTTGCAATTTTAAATTATTTTTTATGAAATTAATCGTCGTGTGTCGGCCTACTTGTTTTAAAATTGTGTGTGCATTTTATAAAACATCGAACGTAAATTTTCACCGCACATTAAAATTATTTTACGATACTAAAAAAAGTTGGAGATAATGCTTTTAGAAAGCCTCGCTGTGTATGCCTAAATGTATCACAGTTGTTGAAGTAAGAAGGAAATTTTTATTTACAAGTTCTACTTGATTTAAAAATTGAAAATATTCGGGCATGTACCATTCTGGTAGAGGGCTTTGGGGCAAATGTTTATTTGGGCAAAAGTCAATTGAGGAAAACTCCCAATCGGGAAAAATTCCATTCAGGTAAAGTCCATTCCGGCAAACATCAATTTAAGAAACATTCCATCCGGGTAAATCCCATGCAACAAAACTTACATTCAGGAAAACTTTCTTTCGGAAAACATTTCATTCCGGAAAATTGTCTTCGGAAAATTGCCTTAGGAAAAATTGTTTTTGGAAAAACGGCATTTGGGCGCCTACCTTTCAGGCAAATATCTGGTACCTGTGTGATGATACCACCTTAAACACCTAATGTTTGTTAACGTTTTTAACATTTTATGTAATGTGTATGTGACTAAATAAATGTAAGTGGAAATCTGTAAGCATTATTTGAATAATGTTTCTTTTCAGTTTGAAGCGAAAACAAAAGCTATTGGAACTTTCTGTTGTTGATTGTCTTGAAACCTAAACCATCACTAGTACAACAGCTGCAGCAGTATAAAATGTTTGAAGGATCACATCATTCGGCGTTAGCTAGACAAGTAAGTGAGGTCAGGTTGCAGGGTTGGGTTCAGTGGGTTTAGGGTTGGGATTTTTGTGGTTCAGGGTTGGGTTTATGCAGATTAAGAGTATGATTTATGCTGGTTAAGGGTTGGGTACAAGGGGTTTAGAGTTGGGTATAAAGGGATTTAGGGTTGGGTTTATGTTGGATTAGGGTTGGGTACAGAAGGGTTTCGGGTTGGAAAGGAATCGTCAAGTTTCCTGAGTTGTTTTAGTGCCAAAATTAAGGAATCGTCACGTTTCCTGAGTTGTTTTAGTGCCAAAATTAAGGAATCGTCAAGTTTTCTGAGTTGTTTTAGTGCCAAAAAAAGAATTCGTTAAGTTTCCTGAGTTGTTTTAGTGTTGAGATTAAGAAATCATCAAGTTTCCTGAGTTGTTTTAATGACGAAATCCTCAAATCGTCAAGTTCAGTGTCCTATTATTTTATTGACAAAATTACCAGAGGGCCAAATTTAAATATTTTTAATTCGTGTCAAAATCCGCGTTAATTTTTCCCTTTCGAAAGACTTTGGCTAAAACTTTAATGGCGTTGTCTTTGATGTATACCCACAGGGGACGGCCTTTGTCCGTCAAGTTAGGGGGTTTAACGACGACATCCTGGTCATCTTGACAAATCCGCCCAGACTTTTCTCATCGAAACTTCTAGATTTTAAACGCCACAGAGTTTTGTTTTTATGTAAATAAAAAAATTCTACTCGGAGTCAAGTAGGACTCCGAATAGCATAAATGTCTCCGCGGCCACATATTTACATTAAGTTTTGATTTTATGTGAATAGAACGTTAAAAATAATTTTATATTTTCGTTTAGCTTTCTATGATATTTTTATTTAAATTATTTTTATCTGGTTTTCAAAATTTGAAATATTAATTATTTGTTATTAATGAAATATTTTACCGTTTTATATAGATTTCGTTTTCATAGAAAGTTTACAGTTATTAATTATTAATTGTTATATTTGTTTTCAAAAATAAATTAATCCGTTAATTAATCAAAATACGTACTTAGTTCAACTTGACCTGTAAATAGAAATTTTAATTAGGAATTAATTGGCCAACTGATTAATTGATAAAGATAAAAACACGCTTGATATATTTATAGTTCGGTGTCGTTTAATTAAATTTAAAAGCAATGTTTACCTTTCAAACCTGATGATCCGTTGGGTAGATGATGTAGGGTTCATATGTGTCTTGAAGACGGCCAATGAAGGGGTGGTGTTGTCAGCATTATGACTAGCCGGCTTTATATTCTCTAACATGAGCTGGGTACCCATCAGAGCTGGGTGGACTCAGGGACAGTCGGGAATGAGATCCGAACTTGAGACCTTCTGGCTAGCAGTCAAGAATATAATAAACAGCACAAGTAATAGGAGTTGTACCCTTGTTAGCGAAGCGTTTAAAAACCCAAACTAATAATTTAAAAAAAAAAACTGTTTCTGTAACTTTTTAGAGAGACATGTAAAGTACATACGAGACTAAGACGTGAAATAATTTAGTGTCATCAGCGTTGAACATTTCTTCTAATTATTTTTTATGTTTCAATTTAGAGTAACCCACCGAACGACCGACTTCAATTTAAAAATACCTTTCATATCGTTTAAAATACTGAATAAATTATAAGATTTTTACTAGGCTCATGAACCTGGTCCATAAAATTCAGTTGAAACGCGAAAACGAAGCGAATCGCAAAAAAATGTTTTCTCAATCCACATGATCAGTACGCATACACGCGCGGGATAAAATATTAATGCGTTTTCCGGATAAATCGCCGGTACTTTTTATCCTTTACAGCGATAATCGCTCATCTCAGAAGCCCGCATCGATAAAAAACAAAGTAGTTCCGCAATGGCGGAAACGGTCGGTGAAGTATTTACTAGTGGTTTTATTTTATTTTTTTCGCGTTGAAAGAGGAAGATGGGGGATATGATCATAGCGGAGTTTGTGTTGTGGGCGTTGTGTCGTGGGCGGTGGTTGTAAGGGCGAAGGTAAATATATATATGAAATGATGGAGAAATATCTGATGAACTAATTGACTTTATTTTTTAATCAATTAATTAATAACCTCATTAAAACATCTAATGTGACGTTGTCATGAATTATTCTTTGACGTGAATGTAAAGTATGTTAATGTGTATTTAATTAAAACTTAAATTTGTTTGTAAAATAGCTACTACTTGGGAAGGGGGGAGTAAGTTAACAACTTCTTACACCTTTCACCAATTCACCCCAAACCATTGAGATCAAACAACTTCTTCCACCTTTCACCAATTCACCTCAAACCATTGAGATCAAACAACTTCTCACACCTTTCACCAATTCACCTCAAGCCCATCGGTCTAGTTCAAGTCACGTG